CACGAGTACCAATCTAAGAGTCGAGTCAGGAATAAACCAGGCCTAAACAGGCGTCGATAAAACCATTATAACTTGATACTTACTATTGCATACAGATTCTTCTGTAAGTTCCTTATTATTGAAGATTGTGGGAGGGGGTGGAGGTCTGATTATGTTGGTGTCGTGGGCTGAATATGGGTCGGGTCAGTAATGCTGTTGTTATAATTAGTTTAACTACCTTACTGCGACATTTGTACGGAGATAGGGGAGAACCGTGTCACACGATCATCAGCTGTTGGAGATTTGTTTGAACTTTCATACTCCAGAACTGAGTCTTTGTAAAACTTACCTAGTGATGGTGTAGTAAAGTTTAGTTTTTGGTGCTGACTGCATCAAAGTTCGATAGTTTTTCGATTTTTAATAGAGTAAAGGATATTATAGTAAATTATTACTAACTGTTTAAAGTGGTTAAGTTAGTTGTGTAAATGTACTTATTTTTTTTTTAAATTGCTCCACTAACGCATTAGGTTATATAATTAACATGTAACGTTAGCTGTTGAAATAAATAAATAAATGAATTACTTATAATAATAAACTCAAATAACACAATAAAACAGTCAAAACTATGTGAGGATTTTCTAAAACTTATTTATGTAGATGTAAGTATCGAATCAATTAGGGTTTTTGGGATATACCATCTTAAAACCTTTAAAAATTGTCATAATTATCAATATCTCAATAAGTGCGTTTCTCTAGTTACTGTGTGCCTAGCACGAATAACTATCGCATTCGTAACGTAATAGTATCGAGACGTCGAAACGTCATGTGACGAAAACGGAATGTCGCAGCACGAAGCCTATCGTATCGTCTTTCGAGAGCTCGAATCAAATTCGTTAGTGACGTCATGCTGGTGTAAAGTAGAGAAGCACCCAAGTGAACGAATTGAATGCATAATGATTACGTCTGAAAACTAAACCATTTTTAAAATATTTTTCTACCTTTGTCTGCACGATTAAGGCTTTGATATTTTGTTAAGATATATTGGTTAAGCAAAAAAAGGTCAAGAATGGAGTTTACGGTTATGTAAAGTAACATAATCGTAATTTTGGAACTAGCCGAGCAGCAACATGTTTCATACCCTTTAATGTATAGTATAGATTAGTTAAAATGGTACGGATCGACTCGTGAGATACAGAAAGTTCGGCGGCTATCTCTCTCAGAGTTGAATGGGGATTTTCAGTCACTATTTCCTTCACTTTTGCGATGTTAACTACAGTTGCAGACCAGAGCGAGGCAAATCTTCCATCACATCTCGACCGCTTTTGAACGCTTTGAACCACTCATAAGCACGAGTTTTTGATAAAGTCGATTCACCGTAAGCTTTCTGTAACATTTTCAGTGACTCCGAACACGAAATTCCATTGGCGATGCAAAATTTAAGACAAACTCTTTGATCGATATTTGTGTCCATTATGAAATTCACAATACACATTATATATGATATTTCTGAAACCAGCGCTGTATTTAATATAACCATAAACAAATCATCCATTCCCGATACATTTTTGAGTGAATGTAGATATATGCGCATCACAAAGTACCTATTTATTTAGTTCTGAAAATAAAAATAGAATAAGATCATTATAAATGAAAATACCCGCCTATTGGGTTTTTTCCCACATAAAAACCGGGTTTTTTCCCAAATGGGAAAAAACCTGGGTTTTTTCCCTTTGGGTTTTTTCCCAGCGCCCATCTCTACTGTCATTAGAGAATTGAACTCGGGACAACAGCACACGTTCGCTGAATCACAGACAAATGAGACAATAATATGATACAAGTGTAAAGAAACAATATTCTACTTCATTAAAACCCATTTATCCCCTAGCGGTCACCAGTGACCGCACTCCACTAACTATATTATAGACCTTATTTCCGCTGATTAGAGACTACTTTTGTATGAATAAATTTAGGTTCAACAGGTTAATAAGCATATTTAATCAAGGAACAATACATTAACTCGTCGAGTACCGGTTTTGTAGACACAATTATAGAACAATAGGTTGCGGTTACCGGTGACCGCTTGGTGTTTGACAGTTTAAAGTAGATAATTATAAAGCTGAACAAAAAGCTATTAATAGATTTTTTATACCAATAGTCAAATAGAGGTTGGATAGGTGCGAAATTATATTTACATAGGAATATGTATTTATGTATCACAAATAGATATCATTTAATAAAGAGACAAGTGAAGGTGATGTAAGTGAAGGTTAATTATTTCAAATTAGTCAAATATGGCATTTTTTAAATTTCGAAACTCCAGCAAACAAAGTACAGTCGAGCAATCTAATGAAACCATTTGCCCAATCGTTGAAATTTTAAAAGTGAAAATATAAATTTCATCGTTTTTTTTAATAAGTTAATCCTTTGTTAGTTTTATATAAAAGAAAATAATAAATAAACCCACCAAACTGCTATGACAGTTTGACGGTGGGATAATCGTGCGGGATCGTCATCGTCGTCATTATCAGACCCATTCCATTCCCTGGCACATACAGTTTTCTCAAACGACTGCAAAAAGTTATATTTTCACTAAGTTTAATCTTTAACTCTTCGTATCTAACCACTGCCAGCCAATTAGCGAGACAGGAGTATAAAATCAGATTATTCCAAGAAACTGTAGTAGATTTCCTGGAATACATAGGTACAGCTAAAGAATGGGCCGGCTCGACCGGAGTGATACCCCGGCCTCGCAGAAAGCCGACGTAAATCAACGCTTGCGTTATGTTTCGTCGTGTGAGTTAGGTTACCGGAGGCCCATTACATTACTCCCCTTTACCAATCCCTGAATCTCCAACAATCTTCAAATTCCTAATCCCCAAAAGGTAACGCAATTATAACGCCCCTTGTGTTCCAGGTGTCCACGGGCGACGCCGACGGCTTACCATTAGGTGACCCGTCTGCTCGATTACCGGTTTATCTCATAAAAAAAGACGAGAAAATGGCCAATCGCCTACCGATAAGAGGGGACTCCTACACCAGTTACGCACTTAAACGCTTCTAGAGTCCTTAAGCGATAGTGATCACCAACCACCAGGTATTAAGTCTGCTCCGTATTCCGTAAACAAAAAAAAGCGTAAAATGGATATTCCTCTACTTTTGATATCAAATGTCTGAAGGTTACAGTAGTTGGTGGAAGGTCTGGCAGATTTCCAATTTCCCCTCAAAGATTGGCAACGTGTCGTCGATTGGTTGAGTGTCAAGTTCCTTAGTTCTCGGTCGCGGTTAACTGCCTATCTGATGAATACCCTATCTGCCAACTAGATGCAGATGTTACAAAGGAAATTATGTGGTATTGGGTAAGTAGGTAAGAGGTCTTAAGGAAGTCTTTGGGGGAGGCCTAGGTAGATATGTTAAACACTGGATGTCTTTGGGCTTAATGATCGCTATGATAAATAAGTGCAAAGTTTGAAGTCATTTTTATAGTGTTTAGTGATTTTTGACTAACTAACTACAGTAATGTATCAGAGATAACGACCGGAGCGTACAGCGCGTCGCGTTCCGCGCGCGTCTCAAAGAGCCATCAGACCACCACGGATCTATTGGGCCCCCCAATAGGGCTGATGCCGATTCGAAGCCGCGGAGAACCTAACGGGTTACCGAGACTCCGGCTCGAAGTGCAGGAGTAGGAACGGGGTGGTTTTTAGTCAGTAAGAGTCTCCCTCCCGCCTCACTCAGGCGGGAGAATCATATGATGATTTTCCCCCTTAAAAAAATACGTGCGCTATTATCAGAAAAAGAACTTCAACCTACTTTTACTACATCTCATTTACGATCACTAACCTGAGGCAGATAATATAATTTAGGTAAATAACAAAAGTCGCAAAGTAATGAACTAATTTATTCTTTAAAATAACATAAAAAGTTTTACATTACATATTATTATGTAATATCATATACCATAATATGATTTAAAAAGATTGGTAAGTACGTATGCAAATGAGATCCGTAGGAACCAGTGGCAATTTGTGGTGTCGCAAAGCAGACGGTTTATATGATTATAAGTAGGGACACCCAGCGTTTTGACATCTACGGAAAGTTTTTGAGAGCCTTAAAATATTTGACAGCATGTGCATCTTGTACTTGATCACCATTATCATCATTACCATATTTCCAGTCCACTGCTGGATTCAGGCCTTTAATAGCTCCACCTTATTCAATTTTTGTTATATTCCATCTTAATGCTATGGGATGATGACAGGGTATGAAAATTAAAAATCTAATTACTCCGTAAGTTAGGTAATGAAAATATAATAAATTAATAAAAATAATACTTAGATAAAACGAATCAAAGTTTAGAAGTGGGGGCTAAAACGTCATTTCTACGTATAAAATGTATATAGAAGTGACGTCACGCGACATTTTAAATCAATATATGGTCCAAAGTATTCGTTTCAAAACTCTTATTCAAATTCAAATCACTTTAATGTAAGAAAATAAAAAAATACGTGCCTAATGATTTAAAACAATCTGCCAGACGGAAATTAAAATAAAAATTTGACATCTACCCTATTACACACAACACAATAACAATACAATTTGTGTTGAAGTTGCAAAGGAAGCAATATAATTAAATAATCTTTATTAGTGATGAAATGAGCAAACAACAAACACATAGACCTTATACAGTTAGATGCCTGTACTAGGACCAATATACAATTTGTTCTAAGAGTGTTTTTAAACTTCTATTAAGTCATTGAAATTATTTAAATAAGCGACTTATATTCCTAACACGACTGAATCATACTCTAATTCGTATTCAAGACTTATTTGTTAACGTATTACATACATTGCTGCAACAGTTAATAAAATTGTAACACGTAACATTAGCACTTGAATCTAAACAACAACACAGCACAGCATCCAACCCTCAATTCCCAAGTTATCCGAAACAAGGGACTCCCTAAACATAAGGGCAAATATGCCCCAAGCCTCATCTGCTGAGGTTGGGCGGGCCCGCAGTTTCGGTCCGGACACCACGGCGCGACGACGCACGTTACATCTATAACCGTCTTTCCCGCTTTACGAAACGCCATGGATCTGATCATTTAATCGGACAATGGAATATACGTCACAAATAGGTAAAGAATGTTTTTTTATTCAATGATTGTTCTCTTGTTTTTTTAACGTAGTGTTGTGGGTAAACTAATTTTCGTTAGCGATGGTGAGTCTTTTTTTGGTTTTGTTCTTTATTTGCCGCTAAGATCTTAGTGTTTCATGTCTATGTTAGGTCAGCCAAACATGAGTGCTTGTTTTGTTTGATACTATCATTTGAACGACATTTTTTATATTTTATTGTTATTTATTCTTGCGATGTTATCATAATCATTAACAGCTAATATTTTTCGTTCTTTATTACATTTGTACAGCTGCTGTGTATTCGCAGATTGTGTATTTTCGTGTACACAACACAGTTGCCACAATGACACTGATTTATGCCGGTTTTTTATCGTACACACAAAGCCATGAAAATTAAAACAAAAGAAAACAAAACCGCGGTAAATGTATAAACTTCAAACAAAAGTATGTATAAATGTAGGCTACGTGACTATTTATTGAAGTTAGAAAAAATAGATAAATCATAATAATAACTTATTCTTTTATCAATTTATGAATTTATGAATTAATTAAATAATTATGTATTATTGTTTTTAACTGAGTTCAAATAAGGAAGAGGGTTCTCAACATGACCTGTTTGTGTATATATTTATATAATAGTTCGCGATTATCTTCTGAATGGCTGAACTGATTTTGTTGCGGTATTGAGAAAAATGTTTGTTAGACTTAAAAGCAGGTTTTAGTACAATAAACGACTTCAAAAAGAGGTTGAAGTCGGTTTTTAAACGCAGTTTAGATAAGTAATTAAATTTTAAACTTAAAAAACAGTAAAGAAACTGCAGTAACAGCGAAAAAATGATAATAAAATAACATTAAAATTTTTAGTGTATGTACATAGTCCTGTAGCTATTTATTAGTTTTAATTTGTACTCGCTGTTTAACTCTTTAGTTATTTTAGTTTTTAGTATTATCAAATGCAATAGGTAATTAGAATTTCATTTCCTATATGACAAAAATAAATTACTTAACTAGGTTTAACATGGACCTGCAACCATTTTATTGATATTTATTTTGTAGGTACCTATTTAAATGCGTTTTGATCTCGTAAACGACTGGAGAAGTTTTGACGAAATTTTGAAATGCGATAGATTAAGTCCATGGATAATTTTGATTCATTAATAATTAATCATTCATTAATAATCTGAAATTGAGGTTATGGTTGAAAGAATATTATCATGAACAGCTTCTTGTAATGAGTTGGCCCGTAGTTCGGCAATGGATTACTCATATCTATATTATTAATGGTCCACTCATATGGTTTAGCTCAGGACCTCTTCTACCAAAGAGGGTTTCGTTATTATCTCCATAATTAGCAAGCGGGTTGGACATCGCAGTGACAAGGTTCAAGTTTATCACAGAGCGATTTAGTTTTTGAGGGAACTTCTCCCGCTTTGGGTAAGACGAGAGAGTGAGTGACAGACTCTTATTGACTACCACCCCATTCCTACTCCTGCTCTTTGAGTCGGAGCCCCAGCAACCTTTTAAGTCCTTCGCGGCTCGGGACCGGGCATCAGTCCTACTAGGCCCCATCTATGGTGGTTTGAGGCGCGCTTAACGCGACCCTGTGCCTACTCCTGCTCTTCGGGCCGGAGCCCTTGTTATTGTCAGGAGAAGGTTCTTATGATAGAAAAAAATCCTGAAAATCCTACGGGAATGTGAGAAAACGGGATTGCGCGGCAGAAGCTATAGTCACCTCATAATGTACGATACCTATGTGAAGAATAAAGGTGGTGATAAATGTCTAATTTGGCGTCACCGCACTGAATAACGATAAGAGGATAACATCGACTCATTCAAGTTCTTTAGTACGTTTTGTTTGTATATTTATTTATTGTGTATACGTATATCGTATATAAGGTTAGACGGAGTTTAACTCAAGGAAAATCGATTGTTTTTATCATCTTACATCAGTGGAGGTGTAATAAAAACTATTATCATTCATTACGATAGTTTCTTGTGAAAATATAGCTGTTAAGAGCGTCATTATTCTTTTTTATTTGGTATGAGGTAGACGGGTGCATATCGTTTTCGGGTCATACATTTTGGAGCGTATAGTTATTTTTTATTTTCTTACGGAAATAATAACTTTCGGCGATAATATGACGTCACTTTTGTGCACGTTTTATTCCCAAAAATGACGTAGCCATCTCTTACTCCAAAACTTTGATACATTTTATCTAAGTATTGTTTTCTTATACGACAAAAATAAAAAAAATACGTGTCTAATATTTTTTATTACCTAACTGATTGATTAATTAGATTTTTAATTTTCATAACCTATCATCGTCCCTACCTATTGTAATTGGGATACTTAGATAAAACGAATCAAAGTTTAGGAGTGGGGGCTAAAACGTCATTTCTATGTATAAAATGTACATAGAAGTGACGTCACACGACATTTCAAATCAATATATCGTCGAAAGTATTCGTTTTTGTAAGAAAAAAAAAAATACGTGTCTAATGATTTAAAATAATCTACCAGACGGACATTAAAATAAAAATTAGGCATCTACCCTATTGTTTCGGAGACAAGAGATTAGATGAACTTAGCAATATAACTAGCTGTACTATTTATTGCCTATTCCTGGCCCTGGGTTTAACCTCTAAACGTATTAGCAAATTTTTGTTAAAACAATATCAAAAAATGGAAATTCTTATACTCGTAGATAGCCTAGGTATTACCGTCACATCCAGTTCTGACAAATTATAACTACATTTATCTAACACAACAATAATTATACCATTTACAAACCTATACTAATAAGTATTATAAAGCTGAAGAGTTTGTTTTTTTTTGTTTGTTTGAACGCGCTAATCTCCGAAACTACTGATTCGAATTGAATAATTATTTTTATGTTGGATAGTATATTTATCGAGGTAGGCTATAGGCTATAAAACATCTCGCTACGACCAATAGGAGCCGAGCAGAGCGGGTGAAACCGCGCACAAGTAGCTAGTACTCGTATATATATAGAGTTAATGACTTCATTAACTGTTCCCTTCGTACACAAGCTTCAATAGAAGCGAGAGTTAACAAAATTTCAAACGAAACTTTACAAAAATAATTGGATTGCCCAAACTGAATAAACGTTTGTATTGAGAGAGAAACTTCAAGTTATACGAGGTTGCGGGTAACGAGCGGAGTTGTAGATTAGTTAGACTTTACAATTGTACCTACGTACGGTAATAAAGTTTGACAGTTTATATTCCGTTCGTAACACAATTAAACTTTATCGTTACACTGCGCTAGTCATATATTTCCTCGCAATATTCACAGCTGTGGTTATTTTGATGAAGACTATTTTTAATTATTTTTTTACTTTAAAAAGAGCGTTGCCCCACACTAGGATTTTCTCCTGTGTCGTGGGTGCGTTTACAAACATACAAGTTCACATACACAATGACACCCAGACCCGAAACAACAATTTGTGGATCACACAAAATGTTGTTCCGTGCGGGAATCGAACCCGCGACACGTTGCACGGCAGCCGATTGCCCAGCCACCGCACCAACCGTGCAGTCAATAGTCGATCGACTGGATTTTATTTATTTATAATTCATACATGCTAATTTTTACAGCATAAGCCAAAACATGTTATATGCATAATTTGACGAATGACAGAGACCAAACAATAGCGCTCCTTTCATCTATAATCTATAAATAAGTGGCCACTGCTGACCGAAGTTCTCGTCTCGCACGAAGAAGGTTTTATAATCACCAAACTTGCTCAATGCAGGTTCGATATTTCAAACTTATCGAATTTTGATTTAGGAGATTTCCTTCTCCGATTGTCAGTGGTGTCTAAACAATCTACGAAAGTACATATAACTCGGGATAAGTCAAATTAGTTAATAAGCATTGCTTTAAAAATAGGTGCATTAAAAGTATATACTTTTATCGATCAATTGGCATGGAAATAGTCAGGATCTAAGGATCTTAATGACGCGACACTGTTATTACAGATGACGCCACACAGAGCCGTCGGTTACCGTCGCGTCGCGCGGGACGGCGGCGACAACGTCGTTCGTAATATCTAGTACATTACAACTGCTTAGCGTCGCGTCGCCGTCCCGTCCCGCCCCGCCACGCCCGCTGTGTGCAGAGACCTTAAATAAATCACCTTTGTAAAAGCACCACAATATTATAGAGACACAGAAACGCTCAACCCTAAAGCTTTAACTTAAAATGTATATTCTACGTTAAAATTTGTAGCAGCTCAACCGAAGTTCTTAAGTAGGACTTAGTTTATCAGGCGTCCGTCAGAATACTTTGACAGTTCGAGCTTAGTCTCAACTTGTAAAGTGTTATGTTTCGTTCAGCTTAAGGGCGAGGTTACGAGAACTTAAGCGGAGCGGAAAATTTACTTTTTATTTGACGATGATTTACTATGTAACAATGATCATTCCTTCTCTAGTCTACTGGACTGAGCCACTTCTGCATACGACGGTTTATCATAATCGTCACGCCTGGCAGGCGGGTTGGGAGTCAAAGCTTAAAATGTTCACGTTTTTCAAAGAGTGTTGTTCTGTGAAACAGACCCGTTTTCTTTCTATTTTTTCTGAATTACTTCTATATCCATTTATATTCGGAGTCGCGGAGAACCTAACAGGTTACCGGGGCTCCGGCTCGAAGCGCAGGAGAAGGAACGGGGTGGTTTTTACGTTACAAGTGCGTTACCGGCCTTTTGGTGATTAGGAGTTTGAGGATCGTTGGGGATTCAGGAATTGCGGAGATTGGGGAAGGGGAGGGTAATTGGGCCTCCGGTAACCTTACACACACGACGAAACACAACGCAAGCATTGTTTCACGTCGGTTTTCTGTGAGGTGGTGGTATCACTCCGGTCGAGCCGGCCCATTCGTGCCGAAGCATGGCTCTCCCACACTTAAAAAATATTTATAATGTTGTATGTTTGTAAAGTTTTGAGAAAATAAGAATGTTTATAACGAGATGACAAAAAAAAC